CGGCATCTCCTGTTAAGAAGGGCCAGGCAGGAGGGGATGGGAGAGACCTCCGCCCGAGACCCTGGGGAGCAGCTGCCGGTCTGAGTGGACAATACCGTCCTTGACGGAGCAAGGCAGTATAAGGCAGCTTCACGTGTGTGTGTGTTTTCTGGAATATTTTTATTGAATATTTTAAACACAGCACATTATTAAAAACATGCTGGCAAGAGTGTTTGCGTTGTCTTCTTATTTAGAATTACATCAAACATTGTGTGACGGTTGTGGTCTACGTTATTAAAGTCACATCCTATCAATCACAACAGGCATTTCCTCTCGTGAAAGCAAATATTCTAATATTGGGAGCCATATAGTAGTGAAGTCACGCATCGGTGTTCCCTCTAAGCTGAGTTGGACTGAGCTAGCTCACAGTTGTTTAGCCTCTGGCTCACAGTTTTTGTCTCAGCTCAGGAGAGCCAGTTGGTGTAGTGGTTAAGTGTGCGGACTCTAATCTGGGAGAACCGGGTTTGATTCCCCACTCCTCCACTTGCACCTGCTGATGTGACCTTGGGTCAGTCACAAGCTCTGGCAGAGCTGTCCTTGAAAAAGAGCAGTTTCTGTCAGAGCTCTCTCAGCCCCACCCACCTCACAGGGTGTCTGTTGTGGGGAGGGGAAGGGAAAGGAGTTTGTCAGCCGCTCTGAGACTCCTTTGGGTAGTGAAGGGCGGGGTATAAATCCAATCTCTTCTTCTTCTTCTCCAGAGCAAACTGATTTATACAGTAGGCAAGTTGCTCGCTCACAACTTTAAGGCCCGTAGCTCACAAGGTAGAATTTTTGCTCACAAGACTCCACAGCTTAGAGGGAAAATTGGTCACGATCGTATGTTTCTACATCTATAGGTCATAATGTTTCTTTAATTTTAACATGTGTGTGTGTGTGTGTGTGTGTGTGTGTGTGTATATATATGAGGGCTGTGGTGGCTCAAGTGGTTAAGACGCTGAACTGCAGGCTGGAAGGTCGTTCGTTCGGCAGTTCGAGACCCGAATGCCACATGATGGAGTGAGTTCCCGTCTCTGGCCCCAGCTCCTGCCAACCTAGCAGTTCGAAAGCAAGAAATTGCAAGCAGATAAATAGGTACTGCTGCGGTGGGACGGAAACAGTGTTCCACGCGCCTCGGCGTCTAGTCGGCCACAATCACGGAAACGTCTTTGGACAGCGCTGGCTCTTCGGCTTGGAAACGGGGACGAGCACCGCATCCCTAGAGTCGGATTCGACTGTGTTTCGAGCAAGGGAAACCTTTACCACATACCATATAATATATATATATATTCCAAACTTTGGTATGCCCTAAATCCATTGTTGGACTCTGTTCTGATTTCCTTTTAATGGCACTACGGCCGCTTCATGTATTCATGTTCACATCTCCTGCTCTTTGACTGTAAGGAGGACACAGTGAAGGATATCTGTTCAGAATGTCAAAGCACTGCGCCTGTGCGCTCTCAGGGGATGTGTGATTTTGTCCGACTGAGAGAACACGGGTGTGGCCCGGCGGGTTACTTTATATCAAAAAAAACCCCACTTCCGTCTTCCTGCCTCGGGCAGTGCAAGGGTTAACCGCCCTCTCCTCTCCGCCCCGACAATGTTTCCAAGATCCGTGGCCGGAGGCATGAATGCTTCAGCTATGCGCTCTCCCTGACATCACCCTCTGTTTATAACAGTTCTATTCTGGGGGATGCCCACAGCTGCTACGACGCATTAGTAATCGGTGACTGAAGCGCCGACAGGCACAAACGCAATTGCACACCCTGCACGCGCGCACACATCCGATGTGAAGGAGGCCGGCTCTGCCGAAATTGCACCAGCGAGCAGTCGAAAAGAGACAGAGTCCAGGAGCCCCTGAAAGACGAAGAATTTGTGGCAGGGGAGGGGATTTTGTGAGTCACAGCTCACTTCTTCAGGAACTCGGTGTCTGAAGACGTGAGCAGTGACTCACAAAAGCCCCTCTCCCCTGACACAAATTTTGTTCGTTTTTCAGGTACTCCTGGACTCTTGCTCTTTATTACTGCCAGGGGTCATTTAGTAGAAAAAGAGGTGCAGGAGCTCATTAGCATAACTCATTAGCATAGCTTATTTGCATATGCCACACCCCCTGACGTTACCAGAAGTGCGTCAGAAGGCTCCACTGACTGTTTTGGACTGCTAGCTATTGGGGGGGGGAGGGGAGACGTGCAGATCTGTCCTCGCAGAGAAGGGAGAGCATGTACCTGAATAAAACTTGATCTTAACTTGGTGTAGTGGTTAGGTGTGCGGACTCTAATCTGGGAGAACCGGGTTTGATTCCCCACTCCTCCACTTGCACTGCTGATGTGACCTTGGGTCAGTCACAAGCTCTGGCACAGCTGTCATTGAAAAAGAGCAGTTTGTGTCAGAGTTCTCTCAGCCCCACCCACCTCACAGGGTGTCTGTTGTGGGGAGGGGAAGGGAAAGGAGTTTCTAAGCCGCTCTGAGACTCCAAGTGAAGGGCGGGGTATAAATCCAATCTCTTCTTCTTCTTCTTAAAGGTGCCACTGGACTGTTTTGGATTGCTAGCTATGGGGGGGGGATGCGCAGATCTGCCCTCACAGAGGAGGGAGAGCTTGTACCTGAAGGCGGGCCGGGGGGGGGGGGCTCTGCAACTTACCTGGCTGCTTCTTGCTCCTCGTGGCTCAACTGAGGGCTGCTGGGAGCAGGGGGCGGGGCTTGTTGCATGTGCTCGCCCCCTGGGCTCCTTACTGCCGGAGCTCCGCTCCTGTGCGCTCCCACAGGAAATGACGACTAACAAGGCTACTTATCTTGATTCACCTCCATGGAGGACACCACATTTAGCTGTATAGAACACGCTACACCCATTCTACCAGGCCTGAGCCATGATAACTCACAGAGAACTCCTTCAGTTTGTTTTTCTCTGTTCCCGTGCCCTAGGGAGCCAGGAGGAGCAGCTTCTGTCAGAGCTCTCTCAGCCCCACCTACCTCACAGGGTGTCTGTGGTGGGGAGAGGAAGGAGTATCGAAGGTGCTCTAAGACTCTAAGTGAAGGGTAGGGTATAAATCCCCCCCCCATGTCACCAGGAAGTGATGTAGGCACACAGGGGATGTTGGGTGGCAATGCTCTGGTATTTGGGCAAACCTTTGTGGTAGGAATCAGCTACAAACCATAGAGTTTTGCCCAAAAACCAGAGCGTTGCCACTTTTTTTTTTTTGGTAACTCTATTTATTTGGTTTTATAAGCCTATATCATATACAAATACAAGATCATCATCAAGATTACATACATACAAACTCCTTGTACAACACTCATTCTTTCTAGCAACACAGAGTAACATATCCATCATATCCTTAATAAGTGGTATCTTCCTTTTTCTCCATCATATTCACTTTTTATTAACTGAGAACTTATATTTCCACATCTTACTAAAGATTATGCTCCATCAGAGCTGTACCCAAAATTCTTATCTGTATTGTAAACCTTTCACATTTGTACATTATCCCATCTCCTCTGTCTTGCCATTTCTTTGCATTTAATAGGTAAAGGTAAAGGTTCCCTTGCTCGAAAGCCAGTCGAATCCGACTCTAGGGTTGCGGTGCTCATCTCCGTTTCAAAGCCGAAGAGCCAGCGCTGTCCGAAGACGTTTCCGTGGTCATGTGGCCGGCATGACTAAACACCAAGGCGCACGGAACGCTGTTACCTTCCCACCGAAGTGCATTTAATATAGGGGCTTAAATTCCTAATTAACATTTTTATATTTTATATTTTATATTTCCCCCCCCTTTTTTTTCTTTTCCCTTTCTACCCTTCTTCATTTTTTAGAACTTTAATATTCCATTAATATTCTACTAGAACCTTTATCTCTATCTTTACTTTTAATATTATTTTTTTACTATTTTCTTATAAATGTATATTGCCACTTGATGTCCCTGATGTGCCTACATCACTTGCAGGTTACGTATGCACGTTACGGTTATTTCTGGCTTCTCGGAGAAGAAGAGATTGGGTTCATACCCTGCCCTTCACTACCCGAAGGGAGTCTCAGGGCAGCTCACAATCTCCTTTTCCCTTCCCCTCCCCACCACAGGCACCCTGTGAGGTAGGTGGGGCTGAGAGAGCTCTATCCAGAACTGTCCTTGAGAGAACAGCTCTGAGAGAACTTGTGACTGACCCAAAGTCACACCAGCGGCTACATGTGGAGGAGTTGGGAATCAAACCCGGTTCTCCCAGATTAGAGTCCGTGCTCCTAACCAGTACATCAAACATAAGATGGGGTAATCTGAGGCCTGGGGGGGTGGGGAGCACCCGAAAGCGGGAGACTTCCACCTGGACCAGGGGGTCTGGCCACCCTAGGACAGATCCACGGAGGCCATCACACCTAGTCTGGCCCCCAGCCACTGCAGACGAACCTCTCGGAAAGGGAGCTGCCCCACCCACCTCCCTCGAAGAATTCCCCACAAGACACTGCAACGTGCCGGAAAGGATCCCACGGCAGGGAAGAACAAGCCAAAGCCCTGCAGAACGGCCTCCCGACACTAGAGAGCGCCAGAGAGACTTAAAAGCCAGTTTAGACAGCGAAGCTATGGCCCGATCTCCTTGGCCCTCCTGCCTGTCCACTGCGGGGTCTGACTTCAGCAGCCAGTTGGACCAGCTACCAGCGTCTTTCTCATCTGTGACACATCTGTGCCTTCCCACAACTCTTTGGAAGGGCTCCCTGCGTCGCCGAGGCCCACGCAGACGCAAGATAAACAGGCCAACTGACGAACCCGCACGGCCCCCTGCCCTGAGCCAACGCTCGGAAGAAGAGTGACTCGTTTCTGGCCAAGCTGGCAAGCGTCGCCCTCGTGTGCTGCAGGGGACAGAAAGAGGCGCCCACCCCGGAGCAGACGCCGTGCCTGCTGGGTAGAACGGCAACAGCTTTGCGGCTGCAGAGACGCGGGTCGGCCGCGTGGACCGAGGCGCAGAAAAGGACCCCAAACGAGGCAGTTAGGCGCTCCTACCCAGGCAGGGAAGTACGACTCCGGCTCAAAGTATTTCCCGAAGTGCTTGTTCCTTCTGAAGCTGCCGAGGTCCGCCTGCAGCGCGAAGGCCGCCAACAGGAAGTAGGCCTCCTCGCGCAGCACGCACTGGGAACGGAGGACCTGCTTCCTCAAGTGCCAGTAATAATAGTAGCGGGCGGTTCTGTCGCTGGAGGGAGGAGAAGGGGAGAGACAGGGAGGGGGGAAATGACACGGTCAGGACAAAGAGCATAAGAGCATCAGAGAAGCCAATGTTGGATCAGGCCAGTGGCCCATCTAGTCCGACACTCTGTGTCACACAGTGGCCAAAACTACCAGGTGCCATCAGGAGGTCCAGCAGTGGGGCCAGGACATTAGAAGCCCCCTCCCACTCTTGCCCCCCCCCGAAGCACCAAGAAGACAGAGCATCCCTTGACCCAGACGGAGAGTTCCTATCTATACCTTGTGGCTAAGAGCCACTGGTGGACCTCTGCTCCATATGCTTATCCAATTCCCTCTTGAAGCCGTCCATGCTTGTAGCCGCCACCACTTCCCGTGGCAGTGAATTCCACGTGTTCATCCCTCTTTGGGTGAAGAAGGACTTCCTTTTCTCGGTTCTAACCTGACCGCTCAGCAATTTCATTGAGTGCCCACGAGTTCTTGTATTGTGAGAAAGGGAGAAAAGTACCTCTTTCTCGACCTGCTCTATCCCAGGCATAATCTCGTAAACCTCGATCATGTCACCCCTCAGCCGTCGTTTCTCCAAGCTAAAGAGCCCCAAGTGCTTTAACCTTTCCTCATAGGGAAAGTGTTCCAACCCTTTTCTCATTCTAGTCACCCTTTTCTGCACTTTTCCCAATGCTATAATATCCTTTTTGAGGTGTGGTGACCAGAACCAAATACACACTACTCCAAATGAGCAAAGCAGTTTGGAAATCAGACACCCCAGGGAAGATGCTTGCCTGCAGTGGGCGTCGCTCTGACCTGCTGGCTTCCCGACAGGGGGTGAGAATATCCGCCTACCTGGATCTCACGCTGAGCAGCCGTCTTCGGTGAGAATGAGTTGACGTTTGGGAGAGCCCTGCTTCAAAACTCATGTCTCCTGCAAACTCACTAGGTGGTCCGAGGCAAAGCCATGGATTCTGAGCTGCCCACCCTGTGCACGTTTGTAACACGGGGATGACAGCTCTAGTCTACCCTGCAGGGCTGTTGTATCAAAGAGTAGTGTGAGAAACACCTCGACACACTGAGAACACGACCAATGCTCCCTCTAAGCTATGGAGCCCTGTGAGCAAAAATTCTACTTTGTGAGCTACTGGCATTAAAGCTGTGAGCAGGTGATTTGGCTACTGCATCAATTAGTTTGCTCTGGAGCCCTCCTTCCTGAGCGAAGAGAAAAATGTGTGAGCCGGAGGCTAAAAAACTGTGAGCTGGCTCACACTAACTCAGCTTAGAGGGAACACTGAACACGACACATTTATGCCTAAGGGGTTGGGTAGCATAATACATGGGGTGGAGAGAGTTGACAAAGAGAACTTTCCCTCCCTCTCCGCAAAGACTAGAACTCCAGGGCGTCCGATGAAGCCGACGGGCAGGAGGTTCAGGGCGGACAACAGGAAACACCACTTTACACAGAGAGTGATTAAAATGTGGAATTCGCTGCCGGAGGATGTCGTGATGGCCGCAGAGATAGACAGCTTTCAAAGGGATTAGACGCGTGAACACAGGAACACGACACTGCCTTATACTGAATCAGACCCTGGGTCCATCAGAGTCAGTATTGTCTACCCAGACTGGCAGCAGCTCTCCAGGGTCTCAGGCAGAGAAAGGTCTTTCCCATCACCTCCTGCCAGATCTTTTCGCCGGAGATGGCAGGGATTGAACCTGGGACCTTCTGCGTGCCGAGCAAGCCAAGTACTCCCCCCCCCCCCCCCCCGCTTACCTGATCAGCCTGCCGTTTTCCACATAATATTGCACGCGGAAGTGGATGATCATCGGGGGGCCAAACTGGTCGATACCCTGCAAGCCAAAGACAAAAAAAAAAAAAGAGGTTTAGCTTCAATAAAAGAAGAAGAGAAACAGCCTGTTCTGGAGATGGCATTAGGAAAGACTTTCTCCCCTCCTCTTAACCCGTAGCTTTCCTTCGTTTGGAATTTGGAACAAGAGAAGTGGGAGAAAGCAGAGCTGCGGGAAGCAATTCAGCCGGGTAGAGATCGTCGGTCCAGCTGGCAAAAGGAAGCCATTTTGGGCATGAGAAAAGCTGCCAGAGACCCAGGTCAGTGTGATCAGCACAACATTCGCTGGGATGGCTGGGAAGGGTATCCTTTGGGGTAGAGGGAGGGCCCCTGTGGAGCTTCCCTTCGTCAAGCTTGCTAAACACTGGAAGAAGCCAAATAATTGGGGGCCCTTCCTCTCACACTCTTAAGCAAGATCGTCAGGAGAGGCCTGCTGGATCAGGCCAGTGGCCCATCCAGTCCAACCTCCTCTCACAAAGAGGCCAACCGGGTCCTCTGGAGGGCCAACAGCAGGGCACAGAGGCCGAGGCCTTCATAAGAGCATCAGGAGAGCCCTGCTGGAGCAGAACAGTGGTCCATCAAGTCCAGCATCTTGTCTCCAAGAGTGGCCAACCAGTACCTCTGCAAGGCCAATCAAAGGGTGTGGAGATCGAGGCCTTCATATGAACATCAGAAGAGCCCTGCTGGATCAGACCAGTGAGGGTCCATCTAGCTCAGCATCCTGGCTCACACAGTGGCCAACCAGGTCCTCTGGAGGGCCAACAACAGGGCACAGAGGCCGAGGCCTTCATTAGAACCTCAGAAGAGCCCTGTTGGATCAGACCAGTGAAGGTCCATCTAGTCCAGCATCCTGTCTCACACAGGGGTAAACCAGTTTCTTCTGGAGGGCCAACAAGAGGCCATGGAGGCCGAGGCCTTCATAAGAACATCAGAAGAGCCCTGCTGAATCCGACCAGTGGTCCATCTAGCTCAGCATCCTGGCTCCCACAGTGGCCAACCAGTTCCTCTGGAGGGCCGACAACAGGGCAGAGAGGCCGAGGCCTTCACTAGAACATCAAAAGAGCCCTGCTGGATCAGACCAGTGAGGGTCCATCTAGTCCAGCATCCTCTCTCACACAGTGACCAACCAGCTCCTCTGGAGGGCCAACAACAGGGCACAGAGGCCGAGGCCATAATTAGAACATCAGAAGAGCCCTGCTGGATCAGACCAGTGAAGGTCCATCTAGCCCAGCATCCCGTCTCCCACAGCAGCCAACCAGTTCCTCTGGAGGGCCAACAACAGGACACAGAACATCAGAAGAGCCCTGCTGGGTCAGTCCAGCATCCTGTCACACACAATGGTCCACCAGTTCCTCTGCAAGGCCAACCACAGGGCATGGAGGCCGAGGCCTTCCCCTGAGGTTGCCTCCTGGCACTGGCATTCAGAGGCTAAATGCCTTTGAATATGAAGGTTCATTTTAGTCAGCTTGGCTAGTAGCCAGTGACAGACTTTATCCTCCAAGAATCTGTCTAATCCCCCTTCCTTCGAAACGGGTTCAATGGATCCAAACTCTTTGGGGGGTGGGGAAAGCTTTTTACCCATTTCCCCACCAGAGCTAAACGGAGCCTCCATGTTCAGGGGCAGTATACCTGTGAGGGCCAGGTGTCAGGTAGCCCGGTCATAGGTCTGGAACGTGGAGGGGTGCCCTCCCGTTTTCTGTCTCAGCTCTCCCTCACTCACCAACTGTTTGCTATCTTACGCTTGACCTTGTAGATGCTCCAGCTGTAGTTTTACCCGGCTGGGAAAGTGAACGGCTTTTAGCTTTGCCTGCTTGCTTTGCCCGCTATGGCCATTGGCTCATGCTTACATGGGGGGATGTTTGATTCTAGTATAAGTCAGAGGCCCTCATACTGGCGGCCATTCCTGACACAAGCTGTATACGTGTCTCTAGTACTGGATCTACCAATAAACAGTTATCTTCTTATGAAGCCCTGTGTTGCGTGACCTGTCTAAGAACCCTGACGCCAGGCAGCATTCAGAATCTATGCGTGTGAGTTTTTCCTTAAGCATCTGAATGGCTGCAGTGGGATGCCGGAGAAAAAGAAATGAGCTCCGTTTATGAAAGAGGAATTGGGGTGTGTGGGCCTTGACGATGTGGGCGAAAGGGCGAGCAGGCTTATCAAAACTGCTCCCTGCAGGCTCGTGAAGTCGCCCTCGCTTTCATTCACTCCCGGATCAATGTTCTTCCTGACAGGCCGCAAACGAAGCCTGACCTTTCGCTATATCCCATCTGTGGCAGGAGGCAGAGCCGACTCCCGGGGGGCCCGAGGCCGGCTCTCCCCAAGGTCCTTAAAGGTAATTTTCGAAGCCATCCCCCCCTCGTGCCTGCCATTTATCTCAGGGACGGCTCGGGTTTCAACACCAAGGCAGCCTCCGCCGAGGCCAACAAAGCCGTGCATTTCTGAGACGTCTGGCTTTAAATCACGGAGCTATTCAGGGCCTCCGGTCCCCTCCTCTTAGCGAGGGGTCGAGGAGGAGGAGGAGCCGCTTTTAAAAAACAGAATAGAGAGAGCCAAAGAGCCTTCTGCAGATGATTTAACTTCCAATTATGGCTCCCTGGCTTCGAGGCAGAATCGTTGCTTTCCGACCTGAGAGAGCTTTCAGGGAAAACTCAAGTTCTTTACTGTTTAATTCTGATGGGGGGGGGGGGATTTTCTGAAAGCCCTGCTTTTGAAAGGCACCAAAAGCCAGTTCCTACAGAAGCCTGCGAAGTCTAAGTTTTTTGGGGGTGGGGTGGGGGGGACCAATGGGCTTCCAACAGGGTTGCCCACACACGGGAGGTTTTACTAAATTGCCACGTGCAAAACGGCACTGGGCACATGGACAGACTGCATATGGCACTTCTGTGCTCTGCTAGCAGGCCCAGAGCTTTGGGGGGTTCTGACTCCTTTCTTAAAGGATGAAGGAGAAGAAGAGATTGGATTTATACCCTGCCCTTCACTACCCAAGGGAGTCTCAGAGCGGCTCACAAACTCCTTTCCCTTCCCCTTCCCAGAACAGACACCCTGTGAGGCGGGTGGGGCCGAGAGAGCTCTGACAGAAACTGTTCTTTTTCAAGAACAGCTCTGACAGAACTACGGCTTGCCCAAGGTCATCCAGCAGGTGCAAGTAGAGGAGTGGGGAATCAAACACGGTTCTCCCAGAACAGAGTCCACACACTTAACCACGACACCAAACTGGCACAGCCGCACAAGAAGTTCTCTTGTTAATGCTTTTTCCAATAATTTTTAAACTTTTTTTTAAAGTGTGCGCTCCTTTAGGCAGAGTGGGACGCTGCAGTTGACTCATTCTCGCACTGAGAAAGGGGGTTGGAATAGGTGACCTCTAGGATCCCTTCTAACTCTGAGTCAAGGAACTGGTCTCCTTTAGGAGAGTTTGTCTGCCAACACGGTGCCCATGGGCATCTTACCACCTGCCTAAGTGTTGGCGACGCCTTCTCTAGGCTCACGGGGCAGCCATACGTTGCGCCACCTCAACAGTTCAGACCCCACTGGCATGCCCATTGCTCAAACACACATGATCCGGCTGCCTCTAACCCAGCTGGGTCTTCATCCTGTGAGTCCTGATTCTCAGGTCAGCCACGGAGCTCTACCTGCCGGTTTCTAAGGCTCTGGAGAACAGCTTCTTTTTAGAAGGGCCTGTGATTGGTGCACTGGCCATAAGAACATCCCTGCTGGATCAGACCAGTGGTCCATCTAGTCCAGCCTCCTGTCTCACACAGTGGCCAACCAGGTCCTCTGGAGTGCCAACAACAGGGCATGGAGGCCGAGGCCTTCATAAGAAAATCAGAAGAGCCCTGCTGGATCAGACCAGTGGTCCATCTAGTCCAGCCTCCTGTCTCACACAGTGGCCAACCAGGTCCTCTGGAGTGCCAACAACAGGGCATGGAGGCCGAGGCCTTCATAAGAAAATCAGAAGAGCCCTGCTGGATCAGACCAGTGGTCCATCTAGTCCAGCCTCCTGTCTCACACAGTGGCCAACCAGGTCCTCTGGAGTGCCAACAACAGGGCATGGAGGCCGAGGCCTTCATAAGAAAATCAGAAGAGCCCTGCTGGATCAGACCAGTGGTCCATCTAGTCCAGCCTCCTGTCTCACACAGTGGCCAACCAGGTCCTCTGGAGTGCCAACAACAGGGCATGGAGGCCGAGGCCTTCATAAGAAAATCAGAAGAGCCCTGCTGGATCAGACCAGTGGTCCATCTAGTCCAGCCTCCTGTCTCACACAGTGGCCAACCAGTTCCTCTGGAGGGCCAACCACAGGGCACAGAGGCCTAGACTTTCATTAGAACATCAGAAGAGCCCTGTGGATCAGACTAGTGGTCCATCTAGTCCAGCCTCCTGTCTCACACAGTGGCCAACCAGTTCCTCTGGAGGGCCCACAACAGGGCACAGAGGCCGAGTCCTTTCCTTATGTTGCCTCTTGGCACTGTGATTCAGAGGCTGACTGCCTCTGAAAGTGGAGGTTTTAGTCATCATGGCTAGTAGCTACTAACAGGCCCCTCCTGTGTGAACCAGAGAGGAGAAGATCGAGCCAGCCCCCCCACACCCCTTACCTTGCTCGCTTCCTTCTTCCACTCTTTCGGACAGTATTTGTAGAGCTTCTGGGACAACTCCATGTAGACGTGCTCATTGTCTGAAGGCCAAGCAAAGAAGGAGGAATCGATTAGGCTGCAGCCTGCGGCAAAGGGGCTGCCGGGCATTCTTTTGAAACTAGTTCCCAGCGACACACTCAGGGTGTTATTTCCCTTCTGCATCTGTACACACACCCGACGGCTTCTTGCTGCAAACAGAATCGCCACGGCAGTCCTCCATCCCGGCCAATTACATTTTCAATATATTTTCTAAAATATTTATGTTCAACGTCTTGGCCCATTTCTGTCCTCTCTGAAATTAAACGTTTGCCGCTTGCAGAAACTGCAGATTCACCTCATTCATTTATACCTCCTCTATCAATGTTCCCTCTAAGCTGTGGAGTCTTGTGAGCAAAAATTCAAGTTTGTGAGCTACTGGCATTAAAGTTGTGAGCGAGTGACTTGGCTACTGCATAAATGTTTGCTTTGGAGCCATCCTTCCTGAGCCAAGACAAAAATGTGTGAGCTGGAGGCTAAAAAACTGTGAGCTAGCTCACACTGACTCAGCTTAGAGGGAACATTGCATCTTCTTGCTCTTCCATGGGGCAAAAAAAAAAAATTGGCCTACGTTATTCTCCTCTCCTCCATTTCAACCTCACGACGACCCCACGAGGTAGGTTCGGATGAGAGAGTGTGACTGGCCCAAGGTCACCCGGCAGGTTTCCATGGCAGAGTGGGGATCCGCACCTGGGTCTCCGACACTCTAATCTGTACACCACACTGGCTTTTTCATGTGGTTCGATGTGAGTATGTAAGGTCTGGTAGCACCTGAAAGACCAACGAGATTTCCAAGGTATAAGTTTCCGAAGAATCAAAGTTCCCATATCTGACGAAGTGAGCTCTGACTCTCAAAAGCTCATACCCCGGAAAATCTTTTTGGTTTCTAAGGTGCTGCTGGATTTGAGTCTGGCTCTTGTATTGCAGATCCTACATGGCTACACCCACCTGAAATTAAATTTAATATATTTATTTTAATTTTATCTTTACTTTATTGGACTTACATCCCGCCCTCCCCATACTGTAGGCTCAGGGTGGGTACCAACATATAGATCTGCAATTAGCGCAGACTTACAATTAAAATGTATTAGAATAATCCATTTAAAAACCAATAAGACCACTAATGAACTAAAACAGCAATGCGCCTCAACAGATACTGGACGTTTTCAAGCGGAGGCTGGACGACCATCTTTTGGATATGTTGTGGGGCTATCTTTCGGCTACGCGCCTGCAGAGTGCAGGGGGTTGGACTAGATGACCTGCAAGGTCCCTTCCAACTCTAACATTCTATGATAATATTGTGCTCCAATCCGGTTTCTAGGATCTGCAGTCATTGGAGGGGAGGCCGGCGACACTCTGCTCAGGATGTTAAGTGCTCTGCTTGGAAGGGGGGGGGGATTAGAGGGAACATTGATTAGCAGCCGTCACTGTCTCTCTGCCTTGCCTACCTTGCAGGGTCATTGTGAGGATAAATTGGGAGAGGGCGGAGAGAACTTTGTGCACTGCCCTGAACTGCTTGGAGGAAGTGTGAAATTTAACACAAAAAAGGTAGCAAATCAAATAAACAATCCTTTGACAGGACTACTGGATAAGTGAGGGACCCCGTCACGGTTCCCGCAGAGGGGTGGAGGTAAGTATAGGAGCAATTTTGTAATTTTATTTTATTTGTTAGACTTTTACCCCGCCCTCCCGCCGAAGCGGCTCAGGGCGTATTACAGTAGTTAAAAACCAGTATACAATTAATAGAATATCAAGTCTAAACCAATACAATCGATAAAATATCAAAATACAACTTATTAAATTTAAGATTAAGATGTGGCGGCCATCTGTTACAAAGGGCTAGTAGTTATGTGGAACGGTCAGTGTGGTCCGGACTATTGAAACGCTTGCCGGAACAGCAAATAGGGACGGGGAGGGGAGCCAACTGGATTGGAACTGCGCCACTTAAAAACAAAAGGAGGCCTCCCTCTTACTCTGGATGACGCTGAGTCCGAAAAGGTGACAGTCTTTCAGCCGGAGCAGGTCACACACCTGGACGAGCAGTTCGTGGCACAGAATTTTAACCTGCAGAGCAGCCAGGAAAAAAGAGAAAAGAAACGAGTTAGTGTTTTCCCAGAAGTATTTTGAAGAAGAAGAAGAAGAGATTGGATTTATACCTGGCCCTTCACTACCTGAAGGAGTCTCAGAGTGTCTGACAATCCCCTTCCCCTTCCCCTCCCCACAACAGACACCCTGTGAGGTAGGCGGGGCTGAGAGAGCTCTTTCAAGAACTGCTCATGAGAGAACAGCTCCGAGAGAACGTGTGAGCAGTGTTCCCTCTAAGCTGAGTTAGTGTGAGCTAGCTCACAGATTTTTAGCCTCTGGCTCACACGTTTTTGTCTCCGCTCAGGGAGGACGGCTCCAGAGCAAACTAATTTATGCAGTAGCCAAATTGCTCACTCACAACTTTCATGCCAGTAGCTCACAAAATAGAATTTTTGCTCACGAGACTCCTCAGCTTAGAGGGAACATTGCTTGTGAGCAGAGGTCATTTCGGGGGGGGGACGCAGTTCCCCCAGGTGAGGTGCAGGGGGGCAGGGCACATGATGAAACCCCGCCCCCTGCTTTCAGCCGCCCCGCTTCTGGCCCTCATTCAGCCAGGAGGAGGCAGGAGAAGAGGGAGGGTAAGTTGCTTCCTCCCCGCCTCTCCCCACCCCTGCCTGCCTGGGGCCAGGGAGGGCCTTGGCGGGGCTTCCTCGCACTCCCGCCGGCCTTGCAGGTCCACCGCCGGGCCCCTGATGTCAGGGTGTGTGGCATATGCTAATGAGTCATGCTAATGAGTTCCCCTAGCTCTTTTTCTACGAAATGACCCCTGCTTGTGAGTGACCCAAAGTCACTCCGGCAGCTGCATGTGGAGAAGTGGGGAATCAAACCCGGTTCTCCCAGGTTAGAGTCCGCGCTCCTGACCACCATGCCAAATTGGACGCCCCGACCTTGACGGCCCGGGCTGGCCTCATCTCAGCAGATCTTGGAAGCTAAGCAGGATCGGCCCTGGTTAGTGCTTCGATGGGAGACCACCAAGGAAGTCTAAGGTTGCTACGCAGAGGCAGGCAACGGCAGATCTCAGAAGTGAAGCAGGGTTGGCCGTGATTAGTACTTAGACGGGAAACAACCAAGGAAGTCCAGGGTTGCTACGCAGAGGCAGGCAACGGCCGACCACCTCTGAATGGCTCTTGCCGCGGAAACCCTACGGGGTCACCGTTGAGTCGGCTGTGACTTGACGGCATACAGTTATTACGCCCTGACCTGGATAGCCCAGGCTAGCCCGATCTCATCAGATCTTGGAAGTTAAACAGGGCTGGTCCTTTTTAAAGCTTGGATGGGAGACCACCAAGGAAGTCCACGGTTGCTACGCAGACGCAGGCAGTGGCAAACCACCTCTGTTCCTCTCCTGCTTTGAAAACCCTATGGGATCGGGTCACCATATCTCAAAAAGGATATGATAGCATTGGGAAAAGTGCAGAAAAGGGCAACTCGAATGAGAAAAGGGTTGGAACACTTTCCCTATGAGGAAAGGTTAAGGCGCTTAGGGCTCTTTAGCTTGGAGAAACGACAACTGAGGGGTGACATGATCGAGGTTTATAAGATTATGCATGGGAAAGAGCAGGTAGGGACAGAGGTCCTTTTCTCCCTTTCTCACAATACAAGAACTTCTTGTGGGCACTCCATGAAATTGCTGAGCAGCTGGGTTAGAACGGATAAAAGGAAGTCCTTCTTCACCCAAAGAGTGATTAACACGTGGAATTCATGGCCACAGGAGGTGGCAGCGGCTACAAGCATGGACGGCTTCAAGAGGGAATTAGATAAGCATATGGAGCAGAGGTCCATCAGTGGCTATTAGCCACAAGGTATACATAGGAACTCTCAGTCTGGGGCAAGGGATGCTAGGTATTCTGTGGTTCCGGAGCAACCTAATTTCTGCAGCAGCCCAATCGCTCGCTCACACCTTTAACGCCAGTAGCTCACAACGTAGGATTTTTGCTCACAAGACTCCACAGCTTAGAGGGAGCATCGCCAAACGGCCACAAGTCCCCTGCGACTTGACAACACTTCCCGCCACCATTTTTGGGTATTTAAGATTCTGCAGAGACCACAGGAAAAGACGCCCAGCCCTGTGTCATTCCAGTTTCTTTGGGTGTTCTGCAACCATCGGGGGCTGGCCAAAATCAATACACCTTTAACAATGTTTGTATCTCACCTCCCTGCTGAGCAAAATAAAGCCCTGGAGGTGGGAAAACAGCGGCAGTCAGATACAATACAATAAAATAACCGACTTAACAGCAAAGAAAAGTGGAAACTCCCCCCCCCCCAAAAAAAAATTATTGGCAGCAAAGTTCATTAACTAAGGTAGCAAAGCCCTACCTGCCAGCCGGCGGCGGCGGCGGCGGGGGGGGCGGGGGGGGGGGGGGGGAATCCAGGATCCGTCCTGGGATCTTGTGTGGCCCGATGATGTCACCCGGAAATGATGTCATCACGTTGCCGACGTAAGGGGGTGACGCTCTAGTTTTCGGGCAAAACTCTACGGTTTGTCGGCGATTCTACCATAGAGTTCTGCCCCAAAACTAGAGCGTCACCGTGCGACGTCGGCAATGTGATGTTGCCTTTTGGGCCAGTTTGGGGTGGGATTTTCCCTCACTAGCCAGCTGGCCAGTGGCGGGGGAAGCACCTCCCTAAAAGCAAGGGTTTCCCCCACCCTCGGCGGGGGGCCTGGAAACCCTATTATCAACTAACAGGGCCAAACTCAGAAGTCAAGCAACAGAGAAGACCACACAATGGACAAAACCATTAAGAGGTTTCTGGAAGAAGAGTGACGGCAGCAGCCTCAGGGAGGCCTGAAGTGAGGGGGCGTGGCTGACTCCCCGGGGCAGGAAGTTGTGTAAACCGGAGGAGCCACCACTGAAAGTGCCCTGCAGTTAAGTGTCGACAAGCTCAAAGGCCTTCTCGGAAGGCCTTGGGGGACGACCTCAAATCCAGGACTGGGTCTATGGGAGAAGGCAAATCTCCTGACCCCCAACCCATTCAGGGCTTTCAGAGGTCAGTCCCAACATTCTGAATTGGGCCTGGAAACCGGCGGCAGGTCCAGAACAGAAAGCCCTGGGGGGATGTGATCGCAGCAGAAGGCATTAGGTGAGATCTCCACAAACACAGTTTGGACCGCTTTGAGTGTCAGAACTCTTTTCGAAGGTCAGCGTCTGACAGTCTACTCTAGACGTTGCGAGGGGTCATCTTATTGCAGCCAGATCAGCTCAGCGTAGGAATAGTCCCAGCTGATAAACACGTTCCTCCCTGCACACCTTGGGAGACCTGCCCAGTAGTGGTCCCAAGGGGCGAATCACATCTTCAGGGGGAGGCTCGCCCCCATCCCATTGCAGACTACAGACCAAATTTTAGGGTGCCTTTTGCGTCCTATTAACAATATTCCCAGCTTATCTGAGTGTATCAATCCACAGGCCCGTAGCCAGGATTTTGTGGCGTGTGGGGCAAATTTTTTTCTGGCGGGGATGAAGTCCCCAGTGCAGAAAGAAACGCCATTTGGCAAAAAGAAAGCTGTTGCCAGGATAGATCTCTAAATTGCAAGCTCTCAACCACTTTAGATGACAGTTCTCAGCTGCTGCAAGTTAATCACTTCTGCCAGCCTAAGCAGCCATTCTGGTAACAAGCCGGCAGGTGGGGGGAGGGGATGACTTCTATAGTCAAGAAAGCGAACACGCAAAAAAACTCTCTTGAAGCAGACCAGTTTCTTGACACAGAACGGATCCTAGAGGTCATCTACTCCAACCCCCTTGCTCAGTGAAGGACTTAGTCAACTACAGCACTCCACTGTGATTAAAGCCTTTTTTTTTTGGGTATAAAGATTTTATTGACTCCCCTAAAAAGGGGAGGAGTTTCGCTTAAAAAGAAAGATAAGGAGGGTATATAGTGGGAGAAAGAGAAAGCTGAGTGATGTATTAACTGTTAGATTAAACTGTTAGTAATGTCCAATCATCAAAGGCTTCTTCTGCGTGTTGTCAAACATCTTTTTTCCATTCCAGTTACTTTCTATGTTAATTTGTTAGTAATGTTCCTTTGAATTTCTGTTAAAAAGTCTCTTCAAGGCACATTCAGAACCGCTTCTTTAACGCGCTGGTTACTTTTCCCCTCTCAGTGACGGGAGGGGCTTCCTCTGTTTTTCTCTTGCCTCCGGCTTCTTCCCCTCCTCCTTCGGGTCGCTGTTAACTCTTTCAGTTCCTGTGCTGTAAGCTGTCTTCCTTTCATGCCATGCCCGGAGATCTCCAGCTTTGAGAATGGTATTAATTTCAATTTCGCTTTTATCCGCTCCCAATCCCTTCGCTGGATTCTCCTCTTCAATTGTTGACTTTTATAAGCGCTCATGAGGCACTTTTCGCTGTCACAATTCAAGCTTTTCTTTTCCTTCACAATCCCCGTTGGATTCATAGCCATACACAGTCCAAATATTAAACAGCCGGCACTCACGTTGACACAAACGCCCAGACGGAAGTCCCTCCCTTCTCCCCCGCTTGTCTTTACCCAGCTCCGACATCTTGTTTTTTTATTTTTAGTAAAGTTTTTAAAATGCGCTCCAGAGAAACAAAACCTTTTCTTGCTTATTTTCAAGTACATCAAAGGAAAACATCACTATTCGCTCAGTCCATTCCCCCCCTCTTTTCTTTTTTTTTCTTTCTCGCTTATAGAGGATTAACCTCATTTTCCGCTGAGGGGGGGGGAAACGTTCTTAGTTCATTTTCTCTGTATTTTGACAACTCACAGTTACGCCAGTCTTTTCTTTTCCATTTTTTTCGGATATTCGCTTCATCACTCGGTGACGCCCGGTGGTTCCGCTAAACCCCGTAGAACGGGGTCGCTCACGCAGCAAGGTCCAAAGGGGCAGGGCATGGCGAGAGTCTCAATCTCCGATCTTTCGACCGAAAGAGAGACTCCCCCCTGGAACGCCCTAAAGCGCCCCGGATCCGAGCTCCTCTCATCTGAGGGGCTCGTTCGGGTCTCCGCTTGCGCGGATTCCCTCCTCCACCGCGGGCGGGCAAGGCGCCCTCGGGAGCGACCCGAGGATGCGTCTGCCTTTCGCGGGAGCCAGACCGGAAGCCTGATTAAAGCCTTTTTTAAAAAAGTTTTAAAATGATTGGTATCTGCATGTGGAGGAGTGGGGGGGGGGGTTCAAACCCGGTTCTCCCAGATTAGTCTGCGCTCCTAACCACTACACCAAACTGGCTCTTGAGTTCCCTTTAAACTGTGTTGCAGTTCCCTTTAAACTCAGACTGGCAGAGCGAGTTCCTTTCGAACGGTGTTGCAGGGCCCAATTCTGGGGCCCAAAATATTGCTGAGGAGAGGTCCCTTTAAACTGTGTTGCGGTTCTCTTTAAACTCAGACTGGTAGAGCTAGGTCCCTTTAAACTGTGTTGCAGTTCTCTTTAAACTCAGAGTGGTAGAGTGAGTTCCCTTTAAACTGTGTTGCAGTTCTCTTTAAACTCAGACTGGCAGAGCGAGTTCCCTTTAAACTGTGTTGCAGTTCCCTTTAAACTCAGACTGGTAGAGTTAGTTCCCTTTAAACTGTGTTGCAGTTCTCTTTAAACTCAGACTGGCAGAGCGAGTTCCCTTTAAACTGTGTTGCAGTTCCCTTTAAACTCAGACTGGCAGAGTGAGTTCCTTTTGAACGGTGTTGCAGGGCCCAATTCTGGGGCCCAAAATGTTGCTGAGGAGAGGTCCCTTTAAACTGTGTTGCAGTTCTCTTTAAACTCAGCCTGGTGGAGCAAGTTCCCTTTAAACAATGTTGCAGGGCCCGATTCTGGGGCCCAAAATGTTGCCGAGAGGTGCACATGGGCAGAGCCATTTCAGGGAAGCAAAACAGCACGCAGGCGACTGGATCCCCCCCCATCCCCCAGATCACTGTGGTCCCAACCAGAATCAGGCCCTCACAGCAGTTTAAAGGTCTCCAAAGCTGGGAATGGAGTTTTCAAAATGGTGCTACGAACCCAGGAATGACGGTCATGGCTAGTTAAGGCCCAAGACATTCAAGGAAGGAGGGGGGAAACCGCGGCACTTTCTCATTGCTGTGAGCCCCCCATCGTCTGCTGACTCCAGGACAGATTATGCTGACACACAAAGAAGATATTCAAATCCATTGCGGTGGTCTAATATCCAGGGGCTGCTCCTGGTGACGCAAAAGCGTCTTGTCGCGAAGAGACCAAGCCAGAGTTAAGAGAAAGGAAACGTAGCATAAGCGAGTGTTAAAAAACAACAACCCCTGCCTCTAAGAGGAGGAGAAGATAAATGGTGCCGCCAAAGCGACAATGGGAAGAAAATGTTCAAAAATATTTCCACTGGGAGATGCTTAAGAAGTTACTGACCTGCCAAAAGGAAGGTGGGAAAGTGCTTGACAGTGGCCCTTCAACGGCCCATCTATTCTATTTAACGATGGCCGTTTCCAAAAGCAAATCTCGGCCCAACCCCTGAGAGAAAAGAGTTTCCCAATGGGCAGGAGGGATGCATTTTTCTATGGTTTATGGCTTGGTGCCACCACCAGAACAGGCCTAGAGAGCTGACCTACGGCCGCGTTCGGCCTAATTTTGAAACGATACGTCGGCCTCTAGTTTGCCGCTGGGCCCGTCTTGTCGCTGCTTTTGACGTTCCAGTTCTCAACAGCCTGGGTGCACATTCTCCCAGGAAGACACCGAATCAGCCAGAAAAGCATTTTGTCAGGCCTGATCTTTCACAGATAGCAGAACAGGGGTCCCCAACGTGACGCCCGCGGGCACCATGGTATTCGCTGACACCTTTCCTGATGCTTGCAAGTGTTTTTAGAAAGTGTGTGGGGCCGGGTGGGGATTGTACCCAGCAAGGCTTCTGAGTGGCAATTGGAGATTTTTTTGGTAGAATATAGCTGCGGTGGCTCAAGTGGTTAAGAGGCTGAACTGCAGGCTGTGGAAGGTCGGTAGTTCAACAGTTCAAGACCCGAGTCTGCTGCATGACAGAGTGAGCTCCCGTCTCTAGTTCCAGCTCCTGCCAACCGAGCAGTTCGAAAGCAAGACATTGCCAGTAGATAAATAGGTACCACTTCGGTGGGAAGGTAACAGCGTTCCGTGCGCCTTGGTGTTTAGTCATGCCGGCCACATGACCACGGAAACGTCTTCGGACAGCGCTGGCTCTTCGGCTTTGAAACGGAGATGAGCACCGCAACCCTAGAGTCGGACTCGACTGGCTTTCGAGCGAGGGAACCTTTACCTTTAACCAATTCTGTAAGCCGCCCTGAGCCCACTTGTGGGGAGGGCGGGGTATAAATAGAATAAAATTAAAAATCAATGAATAACTTTCCCTGGGCGTGTAAGAAAGGGCCACGAGAACTAAGCACTGAGGCGACCCTAACCCTGCCCTCCCTCTCGTGATCTGCCCAAGTTCACAGAATCAGCATTGCTGTCAGATGGCCGTCTATAGCCTCTGTTTTAAAAAAAACCAAAGAAGGAGAGCCCACCTCCTCCCGAGGAAGCCTGTTTCACTGTGGACCCGCTCTGTCAGGAAGTTCTTCCTAAGGTTTAGTCAAAAACTCTTTTGATTTAATTTCAACCCGTTGGTTCTGGTCCGACCTACTGGGGCAACAGAAAACAACTCCGCTCCATCCTCTATAGGACAACCCTTCAAGTACTTGAAGATGGTGATCCTATCCCCACTCAGTCGTCTCCTCTCCAGGCTAAACACACCCAACCAATGTTCCCTCGAAGCTGTGGAGTCTTGTGAGCAAAAATTCTACTTTGTGAGCTCCTGGCATTAAAGTTGTGAGCGAGCGACTGGGCTACGGCATAAATTAGTTTGCTCCGGGGCCATCCTTCCTGAGCGAAGGCAAAAAAGTGTGAGCCGGAGGTTAAAAAACTGTGAGCTAGCTCACACTAACTCAGCTTAGAGGGAACATTGCACCTAACTCCTTCGACCTTTCCTCACAGGACTTTAGCTACTAGACCCCTCACCATCTTTGTTGCGTACACACAGCTTATCTTTCAGTCATGCAGTAAAGATCCATGCGCTGTGGGGGCGGCTGCTTCCAAAGCAACTTTTTTAAAACCTGCACCAAAAAAAATCAGCTCTCCAGTGGACAATCAGAATCCTGGCTGGGAAAAGGCCCCACCTTTCGGTCTCCAACTCTTGGTGCGTACCAGGAAAGAAGAAGAAGAAGAGGAGATTGGGTTTATACCACACCCTTCACTACCCAAAGGTGTCTCAGAGCGGCTTACAATCTCCTATCCTTTCCCCTGCCCACCACAGACACCCTGTGAGGTAGGCGAGGCTGAGAGAGCTCTGACAGAAACTGCTCTACACCAAACTGCCAGTTTGGTGTAGTGGTTAAGTGTGGGGACTCTAATCTGGGAGAACCGGGTTTGATTCCCCACTCCTCCACTTGCACCTGCTGATGTGACCTTGGGTCAGTCACAAGCTCTGGCACAGCTGTCTTTGAAAAAAGTGCAGTTGGTGTCAGAGCTCTCTCAGCCCCACCCACCTCACAGGATGTCTGTTGTGGGGAGGGGAACGGAAAGGAGTTTGTAAGCCGCTCTGAAACTTCAAGTGAAGGGCGGGGTATAAATCCAATCTCTTCTTCTTCTTCTTTTTCTTTTTCAAGGACAGCTCTTATCAGAACTACGGCTTGCCCAAGGTCTTCCAGCCAGGTGCAAGTGGAGGAGCGGAGAATCAAACCCGGTTCTCCCAGATTAGAGTCCGCGCACTTAACCACGACGCCAAACTGGCTCTACAGCCTTTATTCACCTCAACGAGGCCTGTTATGTGAGGTGTTTAGCACCTTAGTGAGGGAAGAAGAAGAAGACGAGGAGGAGGAGGAGGTTGGATTTATACCCGGCCCTTCACTACCCAAAGGAGTCTCAGAGTGGCTGACAATCTCCTATCCTTTCCCCTCCCTACCACAGACACCCTGTGAGGTAGGCGAGGCTGAGAGAGCTCTGACACGAACTGCTCGTTTCCAAGGACAGCTCTTATCAGAACTACGGCTTGCCCGAGGTCATCCAGCCAGGTGCAAGTGGAGGAGCGGAGAATCAAATCCGGTTATCCCAGATTAGAGTCCGTGCACTTAACCACTACACCAAGACGTCTAAGGGCACCCCGTTGGGGAACCGTGCCTTTGTCAGTTGGACCTACAAGGGAAATGCCTTCTTGATGTAACTGGACCCTCGCCGGGCCTGCTCATCCAGCTCCCAAAAGGAATACGAGGTGGGGGAGGGGGCTGAAGGAAAGGGGTGTGTGGGTGTGGGGGGGACACGGTTTGCTCCAGCCGACTCACGTTGATGATGATATTGAGGGAGTCGTCGTTGGGGAGGAAAATACAGACGCTGCGGCGGTCTTGCATGACTCTGTTATTGTGGAAGTTCAGTTTGTTCATCGTGTTCCGGGCCTTCCCCCGTGCGTCGTTCAGTGAGCCGCTCCAAGACCGCGTGGGATCCTCAGGGCCAGGGCTCTCGGCGGGCAACAGCTTCCCTTCATCACCCACGTCACAGGAGGCGGGGCGTCTCGGGGGCTCCCCCGACGGGCGCCATCACTGGGGAAAGAGAAGGATGTCAGACAATGCGGACCGAGAACACGGCTACGTTTTGGATTTTTTTCTACTTTTTAAAACATTGACGTTACTCGTAGGATACCTTTCTCACGGGGATTCAGGGCAGATTACACAGAACGAGTCAGTGCAGTCAACAAAATGAACGTAAGAACATAAGAAGAGCCTTTCTGGATAAGATCACTAGTCCACCCAGTCCAGCCTCCTGCCTCACAGTGGCCAACCAGTCCCTCTGGAGGGCCAACAAAAGGGCAGAGAGGCCGAGGCCTTCAGAAGAACATCAGAAGAGCCCTGCTGGATCAGACCAGGGGTCCATCTAGTCCAACATCCTGCATCACACAGTGGCCAACCAGTTCCTTTAGAGGGCCAACAACAGGGCAAAGAGGCCAAGGCCTTCAGAAGAACATCAGAAGAGCCCTGCTGGATCAGACCAGTGGTCCATCTAGTCCAGCATCCTCTCTCACAGTGGCCAACCAGTCCCTCTGGAGGGCCAACAACAGGGCAAAGAGGCCGAGGCCTTCAGAAGAACATCAGAAGAGCCCTGCTGGATCAGAGCAGTGGTCCATCTAGTCCAGCATCCCGCATCACACAATGGCCAGCCAGTTCCTCTGCAGGGCCAACAGCAGGGCAGAGAGGCCGAGGCCTTCATAAGAGCCCTGCTGGGTCAGACCAGTGAGGGTCCATCTAGTCCAGCATCCTGTCTCACACAGTGGCCAACCTGTTCCTCTGGAGGGCCAACAACAGGGCAGAGAGGCCAAGGCCTTCCCCTGATGTTGCCTCACATGAAGCTGCCTTATACCAAATTAGACCATTGGTCCATTTAGGTCAGTATTGTCTACTCAGACTGGCAGCTGCTCTCTCCAGGGTCAAGGACAGAGATCTTTTTGGTGTAGTGGTTAAGAGCACTGACTCTAATCTGGGAGAACTGGGTTTGATTCCCCACTCCTCCACATGCAGCTGCTGGGGTGACCTCGGGTCAGTCATAAGTTCTCTCTGTGTGAGCCAGGATGGTGGACTGGATGGACCCCTGGCAATGTTCCCTCTAAGCTTTGGAGCCCTGTGAGCAACAATTCTACTTTGTGAGCTACTGGCATTAAAGTTGTGAGCGAGCGATTTGGCTACTGCATAAATTAGCTTGCTCTGGAGCTATCCTTCCTGAACTGAGACAAAAAATGTGTGAGTTGGAGGCTAAAAAACTGTGAACTAGCTCACACTGACTCAGCTTAGAGGGAACACTGACCCCTGGTCCGATCCAGCAGGGCTCTTCTGATGTTCTTATGAAGATCTTGGCCTCTCTACCCTGTGGTTGGCCCTCCAGAGGAACTGGCTGGCCACTGTGTGAGACAGGATGCTGGACTAGATGGACCACTGGCCTGATCCAGCAGGGCTCTTCTGAGGTCCTTATGAAGGCCTCGGCCTCTCTGCCCTGTGGTTGGCCCTCCAGAGGAACAGGTTGGCCACTGTGTGAGACAGGATGCTGGACTGGGTGGACGACTGGTCTGATCCAGCAGGGCTCTTCTGATGTTCTTATGAAGGCCTCGTCCTCTCTGCCCTGTTGTTGGCCCTCCAGAAGAACTGGTTGGCCACTGTGTGAGACAGGAAGCTGTACTAAATGGACCACTGGTGTGATCCAGCAGGGCTCTTATTATGTTCTTATCTCCATAAACCGCCCGCCTCCACAACCGCCCCATGCCCCGCCGGCCCAGGAAGGGCACCTGCTCAGAGAAATCTGCACCAGAGCGACACAAAGTCTATTCTTCATGGGCAAGCTAAGCTCTGAAGATTCCTTGTCCCTTCAAAGTAAACACTGCAACTGTCTCCACTGTGGCCTGGACGCTGATGCCCCTTTTCTTCCAAAACAAGACAGAACGGTCCCATCCGGCGTAAATTCCGGGGGCTTTGCGGAAGCCGTCCCTAAACTGAGGGCTCTTTGTGTAGAGAAACCTCAGACACAACAAAGAGCCCATAAACTGACAGGACAAGCCAACGGGCGGGGCGAGGCCTACGCGCAGTGGGATGGCGGCAGAATGGATCTGACCGCCTCAGCCTGTGGGTGGGTGGTGCCGTTTTTCAGGGCTCACCTCCATAAAGACTCCCCACAAGCAGAAAGCTAGTATGCTTTTTATCCTACCCTTCTGTCGACAGTGCGGAGATATACAAACAACACTCCCCTTACTTGTTTTACCTCACAACTGACCGGTGCCACTGGCTAGGCTAAGAGAGGGACTAGGCCGAGGTTACTGCCCTGAACAATTTATATACATATTTTGACTTCATTTTTACCCCAACTGGGACTCAAGGCGGCTTACATAATTCCCCTCTCTTCCATTTTATCCTCACAACAATCCTGTGAGGTAGGTTAGGCTGAGAGAGTGTGACTGGCCCAAGGTCACCCAGCAAGCTTCCATGGCATGTGTGGGGATTTGAACCTGGTTCCTCCTAGAATCGAACCTGGTTCTCTTCCTTGACAGATACATTCTCTAAATGAATAAAAATACCCAGTGAGTTTCAGGACACAGTTGGAATTTGAACCCGGCTCTCTCAGTACTCAAACTGGTATCCTGCAGTGGTTCTCATGTTACAGAGAGGATATTTCTAGCCCCTCCGCCCATGCTAGATTTCTATTTGCAGGATTTTTTTAAAAAGCGTAATTTGCCATCTCAAAGATAAGATAAGAGAATCCATGTTGGATCAGGCCAATGGCCCATCTGGTCCAACACTCTATGTCACACAATAGCCAAAACCCAGATGCCCTCAGGAGGTCCACCAGCAGGACCAGAACTCGAAAGACCTCCCACTGTTGCCCCCCAAGCACCAAGAAAACAGAGCATCCCTTGCCCCTGATATAAGATCATAAGAGAAGTCATGTTGGATCAGGCCAATGGCCCATCTGGTCCAACACTCTATGTCACACAATAGCCAAAACCCAGATGCCCTCAGGAGGGCCACCAGCAGGACCAGAACTCGAAAGACCTCCCACTGTTGCCCTTCTAAGCACCAAGAAGACAGAGCATCCCTTGCCCCTGATATAAGATCATAAGAGAAGTCATGTTGGATCAGGCCAATGGCCCATCCAGTCCAACACTCTGTGTCACACACTGGCCAAAACCCAGGGGTCCTCAGGAGGTCCACCAGAAGGGCCAGAACTCCAGAAGACCTCCCACTGTTGCCCCCCAAGCACTAAGAAGACAGAGCGTCACTGCCCCCAACATAAGAACATAAGTGAAGCCGTGTTGGATCAGGCCAATGGCCCATCCGGTCCAACATTCTATGTCACACAGTGGTCAAAACCCAAGGGGCCATCAGAAGGTCCACCAGCAAGCCAGGAGGACTCCAGAAACCCTCCCACTGTGGCCCCACAAGCACCGAGAATACAGAGCATCACTGCCTCCAACAGAGTGTTCCATCGATACCTTGTGGCTAATCGCCACTGATGGACCTCTGCTCCAGATGTTCATCCAGTCCCCTTGTGAAAGCTATCTATGCTCGTAGCTGCCTTCACTTTCAGTGACAGCGAATTCCATGTGTTGATTACTCTTTGAGTGAAATGGTTTAGTCCATGCTACCAGGTCAGGACTGCACTGCTTCATTCTGTGGCATGTTTGGAGCGGGCCTAAAAAGTCGATCGTAGCCCGAAGGCAGAACTGTCTCTTCAGTGCAAGACATGGTTCCCCAAACAGCTGTGAAAGAGTGGGCGATTCGGCATCTAGCATTCACTCCACATTTTCTCAACTGGGAGGGAAAAGTGCAGCTCAAAACCACATTCAAATGCCTCGGGGAACCGCTGTACTGAATGCAAAGTCACCCCTGAATGGCCATAAACCTACGCAGAAGGTACCATAAAACCCGATGATCAAGGAAAGTGACAGCAGCATGCAATGCAGAGGGGAATTTCTCTTCCAACGAGGGTTTCGTAAAACAACGGAGAGAAAAGCCAATACGGAATCACCCAACGTATGTTGGAGGTAAAGATTTCCTTTGCTTGAAAGCCGTCGAATCCGACTCTACGGTTGCAGTGCTCATCTCTGTTCCCGAGCCGAAGAGCCAGCACTGACCAAAGAGGTTTCTGTGGTCATGTGGCCGGCATGACTAGACGCTGAGGCGCATGAAACGCTGTTATCTTCCCACTGAAGCGGTACCTATTTATCTACTTGCAGTTTCTTGCTTTTGAACTGCTAGGTTGGCAGGAGCTGGGGCCAGAGAAGGGCGCTCACTCCGTCACGTGGCACTCGGGTCTCGAACTGCTGAACTACCGACCTTCCGGTCTGCAACTCGGCGTCTTAACCACTTGAGCCACCGCAGCCCCGATGTTGGTGTTAGGGAAGGGTAATTTGCAGTGGGGAGGGCTTAACCCTTCCCTCACCATGCCAGTTTCGCCCAGCAACTTCCACTTCGGCTGTTGGCCAGGGTTACAGAGCATATAAGCTGCATCGTGGAAAAGAGTATCTGTATGTGTGTGAATGGGGGGGGCGGTATCAAGAGCTAAACTGTGGAGGAGGGCAGGGAGCCGGTCCTGCAGGCAGAAGAGAACAGGACTGGCGGAAAGGTACGGGCTAGATATTAGGAAAAAATTGGTTACATTAAGAGCTGTTCAGCAGTGGAATGGGCTGCCGAGGGAGGTGGTGAGCTACCCCTCCCTGGCAGTCTTCAAACAGCGGCTGGATGAACATCTGTCAGGAATGCTCTAGGCCAGGGGTGTCAAACATGTGGCCCGGGGGCCCAGATGAGGCCCCCGGAGGCAATGCTCCCTCTAAGCTGGGGAGTCTTGTGAGCAAAAATTCTACTTTGTGTGCTACTGGCATTACAGTTGTGAGCGAGCGATTGGGCTGCTGCAGAAATCAGTTTGCTCTGGAGCCCTCCTTCCTGAGCTGAGACAAAAATGTGTGAGCCGGAGGCTAAAAAACTGTGAGCTGGCTCACACTGACTCAGTTTAGAGGGAACACTGCTCCTAACCAATGCTCCCTCTAAGCTGTGGAGTCTGGTGA